CCACCACCATGAAAAAGTCCTAATTCAGTGGTCCGGCACCCCTCCTCCTGTCAAATGAAATGCTGCTGTCTGGAGTCGCTGAGTGTTGTCACAGAGACTCTGTGTGTGTACACGTATGTGTGCGTTAGTGGAAGTAGACGGTAGATGGATGTTTAGGGGAATGGGATCCACCACAGTCCTGGCACGGAGCCGAATGTGGATTAAGAATGTGGCACTCGAGCTACTGTTCACATAAAGAGAGAAAATCTGAAATAAAAAAGGAGTAATTAGGTAGGGAGGGGAAGATTTATAAAAGAGCTTTCTGCCAACTTCTTTGTATAACAGCTTGTTGCAATGTAATGTTTCACCACACCTTTCAAATTAACTCAGACTTTATGAATTCATTACACTTTATTCCACTGTGACGACCTGTGCTTGACAAACAAAACCATAAACGGCTTTTTTTAGCATGTCACATCAAAGATCAAAGTAATTTGGTGGCTAATATATGTATCCAATGTACAGGGTTTTTTCTTTGTACATGGATGGGGACGCACTAACTGTAGGATTACAGCCACTCTCAAAAACCAACAGAAAGTTTCATAGAAAGAAAAATTTTGTGTTCAGGTCGTAGTTTTCATTACTGAGAAAAGATCCATTAATTTCACAGTCTTGCTAATACCACCCGATGTTCTGAGTGGTGGCAGTGCAGGTTTACTTTTCATGCAGGATTCATGTGGCATTGCTTATTTCACATCTTGAATGGTGCTTCAGTATTTAGTGGAAGCATGTGCAGGTAACATGAGAAGTATAATGTTTTTATTTACACTGAAGGAGTTCCTGTAGAGTACTAAAGCTTAAGGAATGCCATTTACCATATTTGTGTCACATCCACTTGCATGAAAGCAGTAAAAACAACAACAAAAGTGCTACAGCAGATCCATTGGGTGAGCAAATGTACACAAGACCGTGTCATGTAAACAGTTTTCTGTGTATGTATGGAGAGCCAGCGTCTTGGATGTGAGGGGCTGTGGTCTGGGAGAAAATTATTTTTAGCATCCAGCACCTCAGGTGTTGGTCTCTTGAGGGATCTGCCATGCTAAGTGGGTAAACATCTCAGGTTAACAAGGTGGGATTGAGAGCCATACCTGTGGTTTAGGATGTGGTCAGAAAGGTCGACTGCCTGTGACAGAAATCTGTAAATGAAAGTGCGTATGTGTTAACGGATGATGGAAACATAGGCGATAATGTTGGTGTTTGTGCTCTGAAGTGCCCGAAAAGATTGCTTTATTGAAAGGGACGCGCTTTTGGCTGATTCTCAAATGGGTTTTTCAATAGGGCTTTTATTTTATAGCTGATATATTATGCTTTCCTTTAGTCTACCCCCTTCTCTTTTAATCCTATTGGCAGGCTCCACCTTGGCTCACCTCCAGGTGACCGATCCCTGAGGTTGCTTTAAGAACCAGGCGCATCCATAACCTCACCTGAAACCAAAAGGATTTTATATGAGGATAAAAGAATAATATAAGAAATTGACTTATGGATGCTCTGAACTGGATATGAAAGAATGCTGTCCTGATGCTCCCTTCCAATTTGCTAATCCACGCTGATATTTGATCATGTCAGTGTGGATTAGCAAAAGCAACACTCCTTGGAAAGGGTCGCTGGGTGCTCCTTACAAACATCCTCCTTTTTTTCTCCCCTTAGTACTGACCTGGATGTTATTACTAACTTGTTATTGAGTATTAATCTGAGTTTAAGTGGCTGTAGCACAAAAATATTTGATCTAACTTGTCAGTATTTGTCTGTGACTTAATAAAATGGCTTGTTGGAAACATCTCATAAGTGGAGGTAGTGTATCTGTTTGTGTTCATACTTCATACAAAATGATAAAAAGGGGTTGTGTTAAATTACCCCTACGGTCTAGAAGCACAGGCTAAAAAAATCAGGCTTTTTTTTTTTTTTTATCAGTGAGTTAAAGTTGAACTTAGTGTTTTTACCTGTCACCACCAGAGTCTGCAGCAGTGGGGAATAGCAAGGTTGTGTCCAAATAAGGACACGGGGACAGTGTGTGATAGAAGGAGATTACATGAAGATGTATGAGGAGGTGAGATGGAAAAGGGAGGTTGTGGCTTGCTGGTTGAAACAGTCTGAGAATCAAAGACACCACAGCACGCCACCACCTGAGCATTACTATTGGATTGCAACACTGTGTACTGACTTTATGACCACACTACTAAGCTGCATCATTTAGACAGTGGTCACTGTGTCAGCTGTGAGATAGTTATTTCCATCCCTTGTATGGACTGCCTCTGTGCAGTTATCAATTGATCTGTCTCCCAGTGAGCGCTGTTAGATGTTGGCAGGTTAAAGGGAATGACTGTTGGGGCAAAGAAGTCTGCTGGGGAACAGCAGAGATATTTGCATTTTGTGGTCCCTCTCAAAAATTGTAGCAAATAACAAAAATGTTTCTGTGATTCTATGCTTAATGCATCAGCCTTATAAATAATCTTCCTGTGTGGTTAATAATGGATTAGAGAGGCTTCAGATGGATATTTTGATGAATAGATTGTGCTTGCTAATACCATTTAAGAAGTGTGAAGATACAGGGTAAGTTGTTTTTTCGGCCAAACATTTCTCACAGTATCAATTGAGGAATGACACAGATATTGAAAGCAAATGCATACTTTAAATGAGTTAAAGTATTCTAAACGTTTTCAACTCTGGAGGGTGACCAATGTATCAGCAGGCTGATATTATCTAATTGCCAGTCTGTTGGTATTTGTTTTTATAACAGTTGCTAAATGAAAAATGAAAATGAAATCAAGAGAGAGGAGAAACACCCTTCAACCATGTTATGAGTGTTAGCGTTGCATAGTTTGTCCACCAGAGGGCACTGCACCCTCCCTGTTTGTATCGCAAAACTCTGCCACAAACACAACAAGCAGCTAACCTGAACAGAGTCGAGTAACACAAAGGGTAAATCAATATCTACACATAATGAATTTTATGGAAATCTGTTCACGTGTTTGAAAAAATAAAATCAGTGGATATTTTGAAACATATTGGCCTTAAAAATCAGTCTATATGATGATAGGTGGACCAAGTTTTCACAGGCTTTGTTCGCCTTGTGCCGCGTGACTCCTTCAGTAGGAATAGGCTCTTCTGACCTTTTGTTCATGAAGCAATAATAATGTAGAACACGAATGCGGATTAGTAATCTATCAATGAGGAAATTTGTACAAGAAGCACATTTCCATTAGTGTGATATATCATTACTCTGCTGCTGAGCTCTGAAAGTAAGCCTCATTAGGTGAACCTCTGTCATCATGACTGAATGATAGACATTTTCTGGCTGCTGCGTGAGCTGCTGCTTCATTGTGAGCTGATGACAGACGAAGCTCTTTGTGTTTGGACCCTTCACCCGCGCATAGGCTCTGTCATCCTGTGGGTTTGGACTGACAGGAATATAAGAGTAGTTATCTTTTTGACATACTCACAGGCTTGACTTGTTGGGGTTTTAAACAGATGGGTGCAGTGGGTGTAAAAGAGCTGCTATCACAAATCCCTTAACCACTTTTGCCTAATATGACCCCAGCACAACAACACAGTGTAACTCGGACACGACTCGAATCGTACAATTTTCTTGCCTTTACAAAGTAATATCTGAACTGGAAACAGATGCTTCAGCATTCTTGCTTTGTGTTTATTGCCAACCTGATGTTTTAGTAAAACAAGCAAACAAATAAAAACAGTATGATTTTTATTTCACTAATTGTAACCTTAGACATCAGCAGCCCTCTTTAGCTAGTTCTTTGTATAAGATAATGTCGGAAACATGCAATCAAACCTTCGAGGATGAGGAGGAAGTTTTTCTTTTACGAAGCCTGCACAGCTGCAGAGGAACACGTGCATCCAAAGTACTCTTAACTGAAAACCTCTGTTTAGGACGCCCCCCTCCCCCCCTTTTTTTCTTTTTAATTGATCTGCTCTGAACGTGAGTCATGTGTAATGACATCCAGCTGGAGGTTGCTGCAGGGCAATGGAGAATGCACTCAAAGACTATTTAGAGATGCCTGTTCACCTTTCTTAGCAGCCCTTTCACTCTTAGATGGATGGGACCATTGAACATTTTTTAAAACAGTGTGTGTGGTCTTTGTAGACCGAAAAAGACACAGCTTTACCTGTGTGTGGGCGTGTTTTTAATCTTGTCTAGTGGGTTGGCCCTTGGTATTCACATAACAATACAAAAATGCTTTCTTTTTTTCTTTCCTAACTCTACTGCCATAACCCCCTCTGTTGTCCTTTTTTTAGATTGTCCTTTCAAAAATGAGGACAGCCTTTGATCCTCAGTCATTATGCGACCGTCCCTATAGTCGTGACCCTGTGCGCTATTGTCCAGAACCTTTCTTTGGCAATGCTTGGTACTAATGTGTGTCATTGGGTAGCTTGCTATCTGTGCATCTGGCTGCAGGAACAGCTGTTTGTCCTGGGTGGTTTTGGCATGTGACAGTGCGGTCCAGGGTCAAACCTCGTGTCACATTGTTCTGACCTAGTGTACTTCTGTGGTGGCCTGGTTACAGCTTGGACGACCGGCTTGAGAGTGTGCTAATTGCATGGTTGTGGTCTAAGGGAGGCAGCGGTAGATTTAACATAGCAGGGAAAGAGATGGAAGGATGGGTTTTGGTGCAGCTGAAACCAGTGATCATGGGTGATCTATAAATGGGCATGTCTCTGTTTAGCGCCTAAATGGATAACAGAAATCTTCACTGAACCACAACAGTGGAGTCTCCTGCTGAGTAACTAGTGCTTCTAAGTCAGCAAAGGACAGAAAATAGATTGAGTGTGCCATAATTAAGGCTTGCTTAATATGCAGAAGTTTGGAGTTGCACAAACTCTGCAGTGGCATTGTTTTAGCAATGCGCTGGCCTTCATAGAGACTAGCCAAATGCTCCGAAGTTAAGTTTGTTGAATATGAATCTAATGTCCTTTTTGTGTGTTTCTCTCTCTCTTCTCTGCAGTGGAACCAGCAGACCTCTTGAAGATTTTAGATTTTCACAGTTTACCCGAAGGTGTTACGAAAACAACGGGATTGTGCTCACATAGAAGGTCATCACAAGGACCCGATGTGGCTTACAGAGTATCCAAAGATGCCCAGCTCAGTGCCCCCACCAAACAGCTGTACCCAGGTGAGTATATGACTCAAGGAACTTTTCATGCTGCACATGTTCAACTAAGAAGTAATTTAAGAACTTGCAATGAAGAATTTCTCCTCTTTCAAACATGAAACACATAACACTACAATAACGCCAAATCACATCAGCAATCACCTCAAGGTGCTCTATATCGTAACGCAAACACCGTACAATTATAGAGAGAAAACCCCTACAATCAGACAACCCCCTATGAGCAAACACTCGGTGACAGTGAGAAGGAAAAACTCCTTTTTAGCGGGAATAAATCTTTTTCTGCTTAAAGACATTTTCCCAGGTTTTAAAGTTAAAGTCTTACCATCTGTTTGGCTTTCGTGACCTTTAATCCTACTTCACATTAAACTCCAAATATAACGTCTTAACTTGGCTGGATAGCATTTTGCATTTGCTCCCGTCTAGCCTGTTCCTTTCTCCCCCTCCAGGTTCGCAGTTTTGTCCGTTAGCATAAGCTGATAATTTATCTCGACTCTACCTTTAACTTCTAGGTTTTAAAATGGCTGTGCCTGCTGTTTAATCTTTAAGTCCCCTGCAAACATGTTGACATCTTGCTAATGCATGTCCAAGTGCGTCTGTATTTTTTACTGAAACAAATTGCCTACCACGTGTGGACACTTTTAGCAAATGTTGGTAAAAGAACGATAATGAAAGTGCACATCAGATGCATTGCCCTGTAATATTTAATGTCGCAGCAGGAGGAGCTGGGTGATGAAAAAGCAGCGAAAATATGGTTGGTGGATGGGAGGGAAGCCTGGGGTTCCACTTTCCTGTGTTCTATCATGCTGACGTGGCTTTGAGTTACTGCTATATACTGTGCTGCAGTGCTTCTTTCCTTTCTCCCCTCCCTCTCCAGCGCTCTTTCCTTGCTCTTCTCCCTCCTTCTCTCATTTTTTCCCTCAAGCGTCATCGCTTCTCCCTCTATCATTTCTCCTAGACTGCTTCTGCCTCGCAGTGTTTTCTTCCTTTGTCTTTGCTGTATATTTATTTTTTTTCCCATAAAACATAAATTAAAAAACCCACAGTTTCATGACCCAGACAACCAATTTCTGAAAATGATTGTGATTGTTGCCTTTCCTTTGGCTTACGGATATAAAAAGCCGGTGAGGTCTAGATATAGCAACAAGAGAGAAATAATATCCCTTCCTGTGCGCTAAGCTTCCACAAAGTTTAGATTGGATGGCAACTCCATTCGTGGTCTTCTAAGATGCTACATTGGCCTTGGTGGATCTTTGATCCGTGGCATAACTCTTCCTAGGGGCTTAATGTAGAGCTGTAAGGCTCCTGTGGGCTGCATGCCCTTACATGCCCTCCAATCAAACAAATACTGTTCACTTTGATGCTTTATGACAGCATGTCCCCATATGAGTATCTGTTTAGACACACATGCTGTAATTACACACATGCTACGCCGGATCATCCAAAATAACAGTCTATATAAAACAAACCAACTGGAGGAATTCACAACAGGCACCGCACAGTCTTAAGGTGCAAACAGACTAACTAGCTGTCTTTGGCTTGAAGGCTTTAAAATTCACTCGCAGTGTTTGTGATGTGGCCATCTCTTGCCTTTATGGTACAAGAACATAGAGCTAATATATTCCAGAAGGCAGTTGAGGTCATTTTATCCGGTTCTTTTTCCCCTCTTTAACTAAGTTTGCTACTTTAGTCTGGAGGTACAGTTTGAGTTATGACTTCAGTCTGGAGGTACAGTTTGCTTTAATTATTGAAAAGGTACAAAAAAGTCACACATAGAAAATAAAGGCATACAAATACAATTGTTTTGCTTTACAATAATGGTATTGAAACAAAAGCACAGTAGCACCGGCTAAGATCACACCGCCTTGTGACCCCATAGCCACAGACAGCTTGTGATGATGTGTTGGAAAAGAGCAAGTGCAGACATGCACTCATTAGGCAAACATGTGGAAGAGATGATTCATTTGAAACTTCTGAGGCACCCTGAACAGAAGAGACCTTTCTTACCTTTATTAAGTGAAGGAGCTGGGAAGAAACTGGGCAATAAAACTGCCTCTCTCTTAAACTACAACCCATCAAGAACAAATAAGCATCTGAGAATTCATTGCAATGGAAATTGCAGTAAATCCCAATCTGGGCATTTTAATTTTGTCCATTTGGAACATTTTTTTCTTTACCTTCTGCGTATGTTGTGCGCCATCATAAACAATAGCCATCAAACACCAAAGGAAGAAAGACTCAGCAAATCCTAGGTTCTCTGAATGGGGTTAGCTGTAACTTAGCCTGCAAACCTGTGGTCACAACTGCTTTAGCTAGACGGCACCGACCACAGATGGCCAGGGGCTTCTGCTACAGCTTAACTCACAAGCTGTAAAAGCAATCACGGTTCTGTTGTGTGCCAGCATCCCTCAAGAGTGATATGTTGCATTCAGTGCCACATGCTACATATATAGTGGCATTTAATTTCAAGCAAAACTAGGTTGTAATCGTGTTTACTACTATTTATTTGGAAGATTTTGTAGAATTCATGGATGGACAATTAATTCTCCATGAGAAACAGGGAGTCTGCTGTGGAGAGCTGCACAAATAAGCCTATAAAGAGTTTATAGAATAACTCCAAGCTCATTGGTGTGGCCGTCCACAACAGTCATAGTTTCTAATGTGGGCCCTTGGGAAAATTGCCTATCTCAGACTTAGATGTACAACATGATCTTTGAGGGCAAGCTCAATGACTCCAGAGTAAGACAGTAATAACATGTCATATCACAGCTAAAATGTTTCTTTATTATTAGTGTTTTCTTAAGTTGTACAGTGGGAGCTGTTTACATTAGAGCCACTTACTCTTATGTTAAGTCACTTCACTGTTTCGTCCTATTGCTAGGTGCACTCCTTTGCAAACAGACAGCTCTGCAAGGCAGTTGTTGTCTCTGCAGCAATATGCAGTCCCACAGGAATGCAGCTTGTCTCATACAGAAGAAGAGAGTTGGACACAGTGATGACTGAATGACCAATTACAGGACACAAAGCTTTCTACCCCATTACCTGCGTGTATGCACTCTAACAGATGGCAGACATCATCAGAGAAAGTGCCGCCATAACCGGGTCCCATGCTGACGTTTTGTGCATTCTCTGAGGCTCTGTAAGTTTTGTTGAGGAAGAATACTCAGGCGTACACGTCACATACCTGTAGCATGATATCACAGGACAAGACATTCCCTCTGCCCTTTCCAATGTGACGAATGAAAGATAGCTACAAACTCTTCAGCAAAATCTGGAGTAAAATGCTGGATATAGTCTGGCTAGCTGGAGGCGTCTTTGAGTTTCCCGTGACCTTTTTTGGCCTGACACTGGTGGCTGAGATGCCAGAGTAAACTCTCGGGACTGTTGGCACCCCAGCCTTTCCATTCCTACCACGTTGGCACAGACGCACACTGACAACACGAACACACACGAGGTATGAGGTATCTCTCATCTGGTGGCCTGGAGCAGCAGGTTGAGAAACACATTCTGGTGGGGGGGTGGGGGGTTAGATTTTCTCATGCTGGGGTTGGGTCGTTATAGTCCCAGCAGGGCAGATACAGTAGGACGATGCTTTGCAATTTGCTGCTTACACTCCACAGAACACCCACTCATTTTCCCGTGTGCTCTGGTTTCCCTTTCACCCCTTAGCTGACCCTTCACTTCTGAACAAACAGCCTTCACCAAACCACTGCTGAATCACTGCCTGAGTGTCTGACGTGGCTATTGTGCAAGACAGATGCAGCACTAAATTTCCTTAATTGTGTTTCTTTGTTCTGGTATTTCCCACTTGCATTGTTTATATCATAGTGCTTTAATTTCATGTTCACTATGCAATCAGCCAAAGATTTGTGGATCTGTCTTCCTTACAAAACGCTAACATCTCAGGAGCTTTTTTTTGAAGAGCTGCCTTCCTGTTGCTTGTCTGTGTTCTGTCTCTCCTTTTTCTCTGCTTTACACCGTCCCGCTGAAGCATCTGTCAATTAAAGCAATGTTTTTCATATGATGCCAAGCAGAATTCCTGAGGGAGCTCACTGCCAAGGCATGTGCTCTCCGCATGATGCGATCTGATGCCTAGCGTTTAATGAAGGAATGATAGAAAAAGGCAGGAAGACAAGACAGGAAGGCAAACAGACGTCCAGATGCTGACAAGGCTGAAGGCCGATGGAAAAAAAAGAAGAAAGCGAACGAGTGGCGGTAGCAAAATTCAGAATCGGTTGACTACCAAGTAGAAATGACATACGTATACGAGTATTTGCTGAAACAAATATTCTGAGCTAAGGTGGCGGTGTGGATCTGAAGGACACTACAAGGCAGACTGCTTCGTCCTTAAATAAGCTATTCATTTTCGTGTTTGCTGTGCGCTCATGTGACCACCAGAGGTCACCTGTGTAAACAGCGACTTCTTAAAACCCATGAAAACTGCTTTGCAGTTGAAGGTTAGACTAAAAAATTGTCTTCTCTTCTCTTCTC